TGCCCCAGGCCTGCCGGAACAGCCAGGTTTTTGTGGCTTTTCGGAAGGCCGAGAGAGTGGAAAAGGTCCGGATCTCTACGGGTAGATTGTTCCATAGGGCCGGATCAGCTACAGAGAAGGCCCTCCCCTGAGGGGTCGCCAGCCGGCATTGTCCGGCCGACGGCACCTGGAGGAGGCCCAACCTGTGAGATCTTATTGGTCATTGGGAGGTATGTGGCAGGAGGCGGTCTCTCAGATAGCCAGGTCCTAAGCCATGTATTTATGGCTAAGTCCACCACCAAATAACTGAAAAGGGACAGCTACGTTTGGTCGCTTTACAGATAAAGGACGAGGCTGGTGGAGAGGGAGAGATAAACTAAGCCTTTTGGTAGCCTCCCTTTCCATCTCAAAAGGTGAGGGTTATTGCTGATTCTTCTGTTTCCCTTGAACAACTGACATCAGCACCAGCTTATTTGTTGCTGCTCGGGTCAGGCAAGGGACATTTGAAAAGGCTTCAAGGCCTTGTCTTCATTGCACTTGCTGAAGTTGATATGTTTCATCATGCAGGTCATTATGGTGACAGGAGACCACCCCATCACAGCGAAAGCTATTGCCAAGGGTGTGGGCATCATCTCTGAGGGAAATGAGACTGTGGAGGATATTGCTCTTCGCCTCAACATCCCTGTCAACCAGGTCAACCCCAGGTATGGGACCAGCTAGAGTGAAAAATGTGGAGCATTTCTGGGAAGGATTGGAGCAATCCTGCTAATTAATTTCTTTATTCTGGCATTTAACAATATCTGCTAGTAGGGTATGAGAAAAAGTAAGTAGTAAAGTAGTAAGATGGTTTTAATATTATTTTGTTTCCTTTTTTCAGATTTAGAGCTGTTTACAGTATTTAATTGTTTTAGGCATCTGAGTCCTTCCGAAAGTTTGGAAGCAGAGTAGGGTGTGTACACACAAAGTGAAAATGTTTGCTTCAAACCCAGAACAAGCAAATCTTTGTGGTGATTCTGCCACCTTCTTCAGTTCTGCCTGTTTGGCAGAGCCCAAACCTGGACCACTTTGATTGTCCTAGGTTTCAGATGAAGTAAAATGTGGGTGAGCAACTAGGGTAGGGCTCGTCCTCTGTACTCTTTCCCCCATGAGCTTCCACTGGCCCCCATCCCCCTCTCAGATGCCATCACTGCCATCTCAGTGCAGAATGTCCCACTGGCCCACCTGCCTTCAGTCTGCGCTTTAGCTTTCCAGGTACTCAGCAACTCCCTGCCACTAAGAAAATTCTACCTATAAAACAGCCTCTGTTTCCTTCCATGCTATGACAAAAAATGTGTGAAATGGGTTTGGGCATAGGCTCTGCATGCACAGAATGAGTTGCAGAGCCCTAAGGCAAATCAAGCTCAGTGCTGCATGTGGAAAGCACTGCTTCATTAGATGGCAGCACAAAGCAATGGGAGGCTAATCTCTGAAGCTAAGCAGTGTTGAACCTTGGTAAATACTTGATTGGGGCATGACCTGATATTGTCAAGAAAGTGCAAGGGCACAGTCACTGGGACCTGAGTTAACTTCAAGGATATATTTTCATTGGAAAGCAAGGTTTGAAGGAATAATCTGCAACTTTTCAATATGCTATCTTTTAAATTACAGAGATGCGAAAGCCTGTGTGATTCATGGATCGGACTTGAAGGATATGACCAATGAACAACTAGATGATATTCTAAAACACCATACAGAAATAGTCTTTGCTAGAACGTCTCCACAACAGAAGCTTATTATTGTAGAAGGTTGCCAACGGCAGGTATGCAGAGGGGATCCCTGTAATGTTGGTTAGTCCATTCTATATAAAATCTGAGTGGTAAAGACTTTGAAAGTGATCTACCCCCTCTAGCTTCTGATTGTTAATGAAATCCTGACAGTTCGTGTCCAGTATCTGTTTAGATTTTCAGTAATGAATCTATTCTATCATTAATTAATAGAGCTTGCATATATATATACCAGACATCTGGAAACTAGCCCTAGTCAGCAAACGAGCCCCACCCACCATCCAGGCCTACAACACAAAACAACAATGGACACACAGCCAGCACCAATCTACCAATCATGATACAATCACCCAGCCAATCAATCCACTTACTGAAACAAAGCCAGCACTCCACACACCCCCACCAAGATTTATAGAAAGACAGCAGCTCCAACCATGCTTTAAGCTGAAAACACCAGCCTGAAGATGGCGAGTGAGACCTCGGCGAAACGTTGCCAAGACAATCTCAATCTTACATGGGAAAAGACCCGAATACAACAAGACCAGCATACCTACACCCATGAAAATCTACGAAAACAAAGATACATACATACATAGATACATACATACATACATACATCATATACATACATACATACATACATACATACATACATAC